TAGCAGTAGTACTGGTGGTAGTAGTAGTAGTAGTAGTAGTAGTAGTAGTAGTAATAGTAGTGGTAGTAGCAGTAGCAGTAGTAGCAGTAGTAGTAGTAGTAGTAGTAGTCGTCGAAGTAGTAGAGTTAGTAGTAGGTGGTGGAAGTAGTAGTAATAGTAATAGTAGCAGTAGAAGTAGCAGCAGCAGCAGCAGCAGCAGCAGCAGTAGTAACAGTAATCATCGTAGTTAGTAGTAGGTGGTGGTAGTAGTAGTGGTAGTAGTAGTAGTAGTAGCAGCAATAGCAGTAGCAACAACAATAGTAGCAGTAGTAATAGTAGTAGTAGTAGTAGTAGTAGTCGTCGTCGTCGTCATCGTAATAGTAGTGGTGGTGGTGGTGGCGGTGGCGGCGGTAGTAGTAGTAGCAGCAGCAGCAGCAGCAGCACTAATAATCGTGGTGGTGGTGGTGGTGGTGTGCTGGCGTTGTTGCTAGTGGTAGTGACTCAGTGGCAGGGAGGGTGGTGGTGGTGGTGGTGGTGGTGGTGGTGGTGGTGGTGGTAGTGGGTGGTGATGGTGGTGGTGGGTGGTGGTGGTGGTGGTTGTGGCGGTGGCTGTGGTAGCAGCAGTGGTAGTAGCACTATTAGCAGTAGCAGCAGCAGGAGTAGTAGTAGGAGTAGTAGTAGTAGAAGAAGTAGTAGTAGTAGTAGTACTAGTAGTAGTAGTAGTAGTAGTAGCAGTAGTAGTGGTAGTAATAGTAGTAGTAGTAGTAGTAGTAGTAGTAGTAGTAGTAGTAGTAGTAGTGTAGTAGTGGTGGTAGTAGTAGTTGTAGTAGTAGTAGCAGTAGTAGTAGTTGTTAGTTTTAGTTGTTGTAGTCGTTGTCGCGGTCGTCGAGATCGGTCGCTGTGGGTCGTCGGTTTGTTCGTGGTCGTCGTGGTGACGACGGCGGTGGTTGTGGTTGTCGTGTATTTGGGGGTTTTCCGGAACACCATTATCCGCTGTTTGATAAAAAGAAATGTCTGCTGTCGCTAATCCTAAACTCCAATGTCGGTAAAGCTGACCCTAAACTATGAATCCTAAACCGCAGCTCCACCGCATGTTTCACCACGACCAACTCCTAGCACCGGTAACTAGTAACCCTAAACTCCCAATATAGGGCAATATAGGGGCCTGAATAGTTAGGATAGGTTTTGGGGGTATATTATACTATAAACTATAATCAGGAACCCCCCAAAATATTATCGGTAATTTAGGCCCCTATATTGAACCAAGGACCCTATAGACCCTAAACCCTGAACCCCGATAATGCCCTAAACCCTAAACGCCTATAAACCCGAAACCCTAAACCCCTATAAACCCTAAAATAAACCCGAAACCCTAAACCCCTATAAACCCTAAAATAAACCCTAAACCCTAAACCCCTATAAACCCTAAAATAAACCCTAAACCCTAAACCTAAACCCTAAAATAAACCCAAAACCCGCAGGCACACTTACCGCTCCCGGGCCTTGGCCTTTGTCGTCAATGTCGCTCGAGGACGTTTCTGCTCATGGTTTAGAACGCTGGGTTTAGGGTTTAGGGTTTGGGGTTTAGGGTTTAGGGTTCTATTCAACACACTCGACAGGGAATTAGGTCCCCAAAACCATTTTAAGCACGGTCTTTTGGGACCTAATTCCAGAATGGTAGTGTAAGGCAGAAGGTCAACTCTTCGGAGTGTAACCTTGTTAGCACGTCAACAGTCTAGTCCAGGTTGATGCAAGCCCCAAACCCCCCCCCCAACCCCCAAAACCCATCCTCCAAAACAGCGATCTTGCTAAACTTAGAGCACCCACAAGTCCCTAAACCCTGAACCCCAAACCCCAAACCCTAAATCCTAAACCCCAAACCCTAAGGCCCTAAACCCTAAACCCTAAACCCTAAACCCCAAACCCAGCCAGAAGCTCGAAGCCGCAAGGCAGCCCTGAAAGTCTAGACCCTTAGAGAACGGCTTTCAAAGTTTGTAGAACCTGTGTGTAACCCTTGCAGCAAGTTTCTAGAGCCCGTAACGTACCTCTATTCATGAAGACCCCAGCTCCTCCCCATCACGAGAATCCTGAACCCTTACAGTACGTAATTGCATATTCAAATCTTTTTGATTGTGTTGTATTATACAATAAATGCAATATATATATATATATATATATAAACACATAATTTCATACATACACATATAACATATAACCCTAAACCCATCGGTTAGCTCCAGGAGAATCCTCAGAGCACGACGTCCTGGCCGAGGTAGAAATGCTGCGAGAGGCAGGGTGCTGTTCAGGGTGCCTGGTTTTTCTACTACCATGCTTCTGGGTTTAGGGTATAGGTTCAGGGTGTAGGGTTCCGCGCTAAATTTCTGTTGGACCTCCCCAAGAACGAGGGTTCAGGAACCCTAAACCATGTGTCAAGGAAGCCATCCGCTTCGACCCTTTGAACGCGGAGAAGCCCTGGATGGTGATTGGGACGTGCCTCCGTCGCCATGTGTTCTTTTTGAGCTGGAGGGGGTTTCTCTTGCGGGGGTGCGATGGGGATAAAGACCCGCAATATAGGGGCTTTGAAAACATTTAGGAATTCTCCCCTTGTAGTCCCCCCTAGAATTATAGTATATAGCCGACCCCAAAACCCGCTTCTAGCTTTTGAATTGAATCATCCATATTAGAGTCGGATTTTGAATCTCTAGTCTTCGTGCATTGCAATGTAGCACGCCAGGGTGTTTCGAGTCTTGACTGCTTGCTGACGGTTGTGGCTCTGATGCGTTCTGTTGGTATGTGGGCCGTGTGGTGCCCAGCTCAAGAGGGATGTAATTTAGATGACGGTCGACTACTTTCGGCTTACCCGTAGGGGTTGGGTAGGTGCAGGAAGCACTGGCAGATGCCGCAGTGAGCAGATAACTACCACTGTCTCTTAGGCTGCAGGTCTCTGCTACCGTGGTCACCATGTACTATAAGACCCCAAGGGAAATGGGAGTTTCCGAAAATAAGGGGTACCTTATTTGGGGGTCCTTATAATCGGGATCCTACTCTTTAAGGTGCTATATTAGGGTCCCCTATTTGCGGAGACCCCCAAGGGAAATCACTCGAGTTGTGGGTTTTGGGGGCACATTATGCCATAAAGCGTTGCCTGTGCTTCGGCTCGGAGGCTCGCCTCACACGGTGGTGGCGGCAACCATGTTTCGTATAAGGTTTAGGGTTTAGGGTTTAGGGTTTAGGGTTTAGGGTTTAGGGTTTAGGGTTTAGTATAGAAGTGTGCGCGATGGTAATAGTAAGAAGAAACCGGACACTTGCAATAGGAAAAGAGCATGCAGAAGAAACCGTGGACAGGCTCCAAGACCCTGCCCCAGTTGGATACATACCTTCCTGCCCACGGCCTCAAGTTTCGGAGTTTCAAGCACGAAGGAAGTGCGACCTGCTGCACCGCGACCCTCTGTGCCCCGGACCGCATTTGAGCATCTTAGCAAGAGGGCATCGGGAGCGTGGGCGAACTTCTGCGACGAATCAGAATTCGGGGGCATGGAGGCTCTGCGTTTTTTCAATTGCTTGTCCGATGGCATAATGACAATGGTGTGCTGTTGAGTTTGCCGGGTGCGTCAAATTAACGCAATCCAGCAACGCCCAAGTAATTTGAAGTAGTATGTCCTTAACCACAATATATATATATATGTATACTATAGTTGACTCACTATGCCTTACTACACCCAAACATGCTCGTGTAGGTGTCTGTCAAGCCGGAGACTTTCGAATGGTTGCTATGCTGGGGCCATGCCCTAGATCCCAAAGCCCCCAACCCCCTAAACCCTAAAACCCTAAGCTCTAAACCCCTAAATCCCAAAGCCCCCAACCCCCCGTAAACCCTGAAACCATAAGACCTAGGACCTAGGGCCCTAAACCCTAAACCCTAAACCGTAAACCTTCAACCCTAAAGCCCTAAACCCTGAAGCCCGAACACCCCAAACTAGACAAATGAACCCAGAAACCTGAAACCCTAAGGTCATAGAGTCTTTCAAGCCCCAAAGCCCCAAAACGTACGCTTTAAACCCTAAGCCCTCCTGGAGACAGAAGAAATACCGGTCCTTTAGGACTCCCTAATATCATATTAGGGTTTAGGGTTTAGGGTTTAGGGTTGTGGGTTTAGCGTTTAGGGTTTAGGGTTTAGGGCTTAAGGCTTAGGGTTCAGGGGTTTAGGGGTTTAGGGTTTAGGGTTGTGGGTTCATAATGTTTCTAAAGGTACCCCTACCCCCGCCCCAAGACTCGAACGGGAAAGCCCTCACAGCACCCTTCACAGGGAACCTCTTAAAAGGAACCCGAATCAAGCCATACCCTAAACCCTAAACCCTAAAGCTTAAGCCCTGAACCCTCAAAGGAGCCATGAAGCAATTCCGGATACTATCTTGGGTTCCTTGCCATAATTTTGTAAAACATACCCCTGCGCCCTGCTCCAATTATTAAGGCCCCTGCATTAGAGGCTTTCAGGGTTTTGGAATCTACCCCACGACCCTATTTTAGGGTTTAGGGTCTACGGTCTAGGGTTTAGGGCTGTTTAGGGTCTAGGGTCTAGGGTTTAGGGTTTAGGGTTCAGGGTCTAAAGTTTAGGATTTTGGGCTTAGGGTTTTAGGGTTTTAGGGTTTTAGGGTTTTAGGGTTTTAGGGTTTGGGGTTTAGAGTTGATGGCCTGGGGTTTAGGGCTCAGGGTCTAAAGTTTAGGATTTTGGGCTTAGGGTTTAGGGCTTTAGGGTTTTAGGGCCCAGGTTCCACCTCGACAGCCTCTTTTACAGACTCCGGGCGCGCTACGGGGCCGAGGCGAGGCTTTTTTTTTTCGGGTCGCAGGGGGCTAAGGAAGTTGGGCTGTAAAAAATAAAGTTTAATATATACATATATATATATATATGTATATATAAAGTGTATTATGGATTATGTACTACATGTTTTATATTGTACATAGCCCCTTTAGGTCTTTGAGGGTTTAGGTCTTTAGGGGTTCAGGGGTTTGGGCTTATGTTCGAAACCGGAGATTTTCGGCTCTCTTAGCAGATACTAAGGGTCCAGGTGGATCATTGTGAGCAGCGCTCGGTTGAGGCAGTGTGCCACGGATAGTGCATGTCGGCATGTTGCAGACCCTAAACCCTAAAACCGAAACCCTGAACCCTCAACCCTAAACCCCAGGTGCCCGTGGTGGGAACATCCTCGCGGTTTGGGCTTGGGCTCACGCGAACGGTGAGGTCCCGCCGAAGAGTGCTGGATGCTTTTGGGCCAACATAATGTCGCAGTTCGGAATCCTCTCAGTCGGACAGGGGTTTAGGGTTTAGTGTCTATAGGGTTAAGGGTTTAGGGTCTATAGGGTTTAGGGTTTAGGGTCTATAGGGTTAAGGGTTTAGGGCTTTAGGGCTTTAGGGTTTAGGGGTTCAGGGTTCAGGGTTTGGGCTTAAGGGATGGGTGGTACGGAGAAAACGAAGCAAGACTTAGCCAGATATGAGCAAGGCCGCAGGTAGAAAGGGCGACGTTCGATGCTCGGGTGGTGAGGTCGTCGTCGAAGGGTACTGCATTGAGTTTCCACCCTTCTGACACCCAGCCTCGTGTTTCCCTTGCCGAAATCTAGAAATCGGCATGGACCAAGACCTGGTGGGATGGACTCTGCTGTTGTGGTCTGCAAACACTAAAAAAAGACGAATGACTGGCGAGGATACTGCGGCAGCTCATCTATCCGGATATGTTGGAGGCGTGGCGTGCAGAGTCGGAGGGCTTTTTTTGGAACTCTTCCGGTTTCATATTCGGGAGGCCATGGTAATTAATGAATACAGCCGTCGCCAGACTTGTAGGCCGCGAAGGCCGAATAGAGGGGCCTGAGTGCTACTCTATAAATAGTACAAATACTCCCAAACCCTATTCTAATCAAAAAAACAGTGTGCCCCCTAAACCCATAACCCTGAGCCCCACAACAGTGTACCCCCTTATAAACCCTAAACCCTAAACCCTAAACCCTAAGCCTTCTCTGATTATTTTCGGTGACAGACACACCTCTCTAAGCGCTTCGCCCGCTCCCCGAGCCGAGCCCCAAAACTCCACAACGAGGCCCCCAACAAGGCCAGTCTTCAAGTCTAGTCTAGTTTATTTGGTTCTACTTCTACTCGATTTCTACTCTGTTCTAGTCTATTATCTTTCATACTTTGTCTATTCTAGTCTAGTCCATTCTATTTGTTCCTATTCTATTCTATCCTCTTCTATAGTATAGTATGTTGTGTGATCTTATTTCCATGCCATATTATACTTCATGTTATGACACTTGCCTATGTTGGTATATTAAATAAACCCTAAACCCTCAACCCTAAACCCTAAACCCTCAACCCTAAACCCTAAACCCTAAACCCTAAACCCTAAAACCTAAACCCAAGTCCATTGCACCCACGCAAGGCACGGCCGCGCCTGGGCGCGGATCCGGAGCTGCAGCGGCAGCCAAAGGCCGATTGGGGCTTCAGATTCCGGGTCGACCGGGGGTTTAGGGTTTAGGGGTTTAGGGGTTTAGGGTTTAGGGTCTAGGGTTTAGGGTTTAGGGTTTAGGGTTTAGGGT